AGACCAGGATACCCTACTCAGGGAGCTGGGGTCCTGACAGATTCAAAAAAGTAACTCAGCTCAACAGCGCAAACTACCATTCATATAAGCCCCAGCAGTGAATTTGAAAGTTGGGAATATATGTAACACAAGTAACCTGAACAAAGTCTCTTGGGATGCTCAAAACCGTACAGGAAGTAGGCCATTTTGATTTTTGTGTCATGTTTACTTCCATTTTTGTCCCCTTAATTTTTTTTAGGGCTGTCAACATAAATGCGTTAATATGGCCAAGATTAATGCTACAAAACATTTTAATGTAGTTAACATACCTGTGTTTATGTCCAGTAAACCAGAAGTTGAACGCGGAAACAAAACAGCCACTAGCTGCAGTCAGTTACATGGCTATTTGCATTGGATGTAAAACCAATCCGCAAAATACAGCGGAGAACTAGGCAGAGGAATTCCTCCATGTGTCAATCACATGGGATGGTGAGTGTCAAACGGACAACTGCACCGCTATGCTAAACTAGCTGCTAGGCTAAGCTAGCTCGAAGAGTTGCTAGTTCAACATGTTCCAAATGGTGGAATTCTGCCTCCAAGATTATCAAATGAGTGTGGTATTGTGTTTAAAACAACATTTAAACAACAGTTTAATTTTAGTTTTTAGATGTATGTCTTTAGAAGAAAAACATTCATTAAAAACAACATTGTAACAGGAACAACACTGCCAACATGCTATTAATTGAGATTAATGAATTTCAAAATGTGCGTATCTATTGACAGCCCTAGTTTGTTTGCCGTTTTGGGGGTTTTATCATTTTCCAAAAGTTGTTTTGGTATGCGTTGTAAAATACCGAACTCCTCCCAGAGATTAATTCCTATTCTTCTAAAATTTGGGCAGTGGGATCTTGAGACCTTTGCGTTTAAAACTTGCATAAAGCTTGAAAAAACTATGTGAGTTTGGTGCTTTGGCAAAATACCAGATACACCATGAAATTTGAAATGGTTTTAACTGGGTCATATGTTACGGCCTGCCTATCGTGCCTAGGGGTGCACAGGCGTAACATACAAGGAAGAAAAAGGTAGCCTTGGCAAAGGCGACTGAGATGAACAAGGCGTGATTGAGCAAACAACAGTAAATAAAATGTATTGTCAACGACTTATTAAACACAACATTTGGCAACTGAAACGGAAGCAAAAGGCATTGGGGTCTCGGTGGTGGTGGTTACCGCCGTTGACCGCACCGTTCGCCGGTCGGACAGTCAGCGCCGCCACCCCCCCTTTGAGACCCCTGCCTTACACGCTTTCCACAGAATGGTAGTTTGCCCTCAGACACTATACACAGAAGGTCTGCTTGTTCTCAGGAAGAGACCACAGAGAGAAGAGAACCCGCGAACACTGGGTCAGGGAGCTTTTATCCAGCCCACTAATTGCCTTGTGTCTCTCAGGTGACGCTGCTCCAGGTGAATCACCTGAGAGATACTGTAATTGCCCCGGCCTCTTCTCAGGAGGGGGTGGAGTCACGTCAGGGGACGTAACACCATGAAACATCTTACCTTTTCCATATTTCTCATGTGTTATGACATGCTTACCCTGTAGACATCCATATGATAATCACTGCATGAAAAGTGAGATTTTCGTCCCCGTAAACACGTCGCGTTTGTCTGTGCCACAAATTGTCGGAAACGAACCATGACGTATGTGGAGAGCTGGCGGAGGTGCGAATGGCCCAAATTAGCATATGAATGCAGCGAAACCGCGGGTGGCCGAGCCGAGCGGGCTTGAATATCCTTACTCCTTATTGGATGAAACCACAATTTACGAACAAATAAAATCACTCGTGATTGGCAGCAAAACCACACCTGGGCAGACCAGGCTTGAGTTTCCTTGTTCATGATTGGATAAAACCACAACTTTCAATCACTCGTGATTGGTTGGCAGATCTGTCGCTATTGGTCACCCGCCTCATTCTATTTATATATATTTATATATTCATATTATGCTGCATATTCATTTCATGGTTATCCTATGTAGACTACTACACTATTATTAGGATACCAACCAGGACGTCAATGAATTTCTAGAGAAAATGAACATTTGTCACATGTTTATGCAAAGAAAGAGCTTTATTAACAACACACAAACAACAACTACATACAAAGTGAGGATCTGCCCACACTTGGGTAAAGGCGGTTTAAAAACTACAGCTCAGTAAACTGTCCGTTTGCCTCCTCTGGGTTGTAGACCGTCACTGGCGCCGTGTTTTCCGAGGCAGGTCTGTTGTGCAGGCGCCTCGTGTGCGGGGCGACCGTACAATCCACCCCGAGACCCCGCCAACAACGCCGTCCCCTCCGTCCGACATGAGCTCTACGGTGGCGGATTTCCAGAGTTCCACCTCGTCATCAGCCAGCACACTTTGTCTCGATTCCAGCAGCTGTAAAAACAACAATGAATCAGTACTGTGCAATGCGATCGCTCGACTCCGCGCTGAATCCTTCGCAGCTTCGGCCCGCAATGAGTGTTCCGGCTGAACCTGAAGCTCCTGCGTACCGTCTCAAAATACGTCTTACAGGCGGCTGGAAAACAATTAAATGAGTGTGGTATGAATACAAAAAAAATCAAACCCAAGTCACAGTACCATTTAACAAGGAAGGAGAAACAGTAAACAGTGTCACTTACACACAATGACGTCTAAATCTGGACTTTTCCCGGAGGAAATACGAGGTCACCGCCTCATTATGAGGCGAGATTAGTCTGTGAAAACAAAATGTACAGTTATGATCGGTATCCATACGTATATATTTCCTTATACCGCAGAATGAAAGCATATTCTTTAAATCTTACCCTTGCTCCGGTTCGTAGCGCCTGTAATTCGTCTCGGAGTTGTGAAGACGGCGCACCGCTTCCTGTAAACGACACGGCAAAGAAAATAGACTTTAATAAAGCTGTTTCTGCTCACTTGTAAGGCTACTAGGCTACTCTTAGCTTTCGTTTGAGGCTACGCTACTTTTAGCTTAGCTTGCAGTCATCGAACGTATTCTTACCGCTATCTTGGGATCGTGCGCCCGTCTCCTCTTCTTTGAGTCAGTTCCTCTCCTCCATGGACAGCAACCCGGAGAGTCCCGAACGCTCCAGTGGAGCGAACCGCTCATTGATATCGGTATAGTTTGTTGTTGGAGTTGACGAGACGATCCACTGAGAGCATTCAGCAGTTTCTTCTCGTCTGTCTGCGGACTGGCCGAAAGTTGCTGACCGCGGAGAGGAGTTGAAGGCGAGTTGAACGCGAGACGTCGTCCCGCCATTATTCACGAACCAGCAAAAACCAAACAAAGGAACTGGAGATACAGTTCTTCTGAATATAGTAACACACTGTTTGTATGCTCGTCTTGCAAGTACTGCTGTATCAGTCATGCCTATGACCTCACACGTGATTGGACGAGGAGTCTAAGGGTCCTCCAATCACATACAAGGTTATTGTTATACGGAAGGATCAGTATTTTAGGAAGACAAATGGTTGGGACTTTGTCGTGCAATGGAACAGCTGATATGCTTTATGTAAAGCAGTGTTTTGGTGTCAGCAGAACGACTTTCCCTAGAAATCTGTACAGTACTTTCTCCATTCCACTAGACAATCTTGGATGAGTCTGACATACATGCAATGTTGACAATGTATCATCAGATGTACCCTTGTGTCACTGAGGTTGAATGTTTTGCCATGACATGTAAACGGATAACATATATGAATGTAACTTACTCAATCGATAGCTGCAGAGCATAAAGGTCAGCATGTGTTCATGCTAAGTGGTGTGGAAACACTAACAGTTTTGAGGAACCTGTCCTTGACCCTCTAGCAGAACTACGACCAGCCATTATAAACCAGTTTAAAGTTGTTAATGTTGTGTCAAAGGGTACGGCATTTAAACATGTTCCTGCACAAGTTTCCTGGCTTCATCCCCACCCGGACAGACATTTTTATGGAAAGCCAATAGAAGTTTGGGGCTTGCAGGGAACAGACACGTCATACCCAGCATCATTTCTGCCAGTTGAGTGCATTGCTAGAAGATGTGTGGTTAATACATCCTCTGTGCATTTAAGTAAGACCAAAGAAAAGGTCACTGTAGTCCTGCCACTATGCACTGTAGTTGAGCTCTAGGAGACTGTGATCTCTGCAGACCCCTCATTCTGATTCAAATGTTGTTTGCATGGAATGCTCATTTTACCTTGATTAAAACTAATTTTTTAATGAAGTTATTTTGTGTATCTTTTTTACATAACATTTGCCATTGCTAATGGCGTACACAGTAATCTAGCATATTTGAATTAAATTAATCAATTCAAGCTAAAATGTAAGAGTCTATAATTAGGCTACTGAGCCTGATCTATTTGTACCAGAGATTTTCTTACCTTTTAAAAAAATGTCACCTGGGCTAAAACTCCCTCTGCGACCCTGATTTGCATTTGTGTAGCTCACAGCATTTTCATTTACATGTCAAAGCCTCCCCTAGAATTAGGAGGAGGGGGGTCGTGGGGGGACAACTGCCAAGGGAGGCCCACATCAATTTCTGACAATTTACGGCAGTTTTTGGCGTTGCCCGCAAATTGCCGCAAACCTGAAATTCCACGACAATTTACAGTGCCGCATACTGCCGAAAATCCCACTTTTCATGCAGTGAATTTTGATGATTTTTCATTTGTAGTTACCATCTAGTGCTAGGAAGTTACATGTTTTTAATTTTGTACCCTGCTCCTTGCAAATTATTCAGATCCCTCTCAAATGATGTCAGAAAAGACCTAAGACCTTAATAATGTTAAAGATGAAGTTTGAAAAGGAGTAGTGAGTGCCATCAGTGCCTGCAGCTCTAATCTTTCTTTCTGTGTTTTTGCTTTCCCTAAAGAGGATTTTCAGTTGTCTTATTTCCATGACTTGTTACATCATCTTACCTGTTTCAAAAGTTTCTTTCTTGGTTCAACACAGTATGGGACTGGCAAGTGATATTCTGTACTTTTGTCATGACCAACAGAGCAATGACACAGCCAGCAGAATGACCCAAACCAAACATAAGTGGACAATGGAGGAAAGAAAACAAGACAAAAAAATGCAAGCCGTCATTGAAAACAAGAGGGAAACCATTAAAAGACAAAAACAATTAACATGTCAATTATTGGGAGAGATTGAACAAGTTTTGGAAGATATACAAAGAGAAAGAGATGAAAATGACTACCTAAGAAGAAATACAGAGCAACAACAGGAGGACATTGACAGACTGAGAGGTGAAAAACATGAGCAGCACGTATTAATCAAAAGACTGAGATTACAGATAAAAAATGTTGTCAAAAAAATTGAGAGAAAAAATAAAGCTATCCAGGAAAGTATGCAATTTCTGAAAATACAGATGGAAATATACCAAGAGAGGAGAACTCTGGAAGGACAACATAATGAGCTCGTTGATGAGAGGCAAAAGTTGGAAATGATTAAGTATAATCAGACAAAATTGAAAGAATGTAGGGAACAAATGAAGGAGGTAAAGAGAGACCAGGAGATAACGGAGAAGATGATGGCTGACTATCTGCTTAGTCTAATTAAAAAAAGTAAGATGGTAATGCTTGAAGCAAAGCAGACAAAAAAACAAATGGACAAAAACATGGAAGACATGAAGCAAGAAATAAAGAAAAATAAACAGGTTATTTCACAGCATCAATATCAAATGTATCACATAAAACATAATATGAAGGTAAATATCAACAAGATGAAGAAAAGGTGGACAAAACATCAGAGCATTGAAAGGAAGAGAAAAGAAAAAGATGTCAAAACGAATCTTCGCAAAATTCAGGAAGAGATGGAGAAACTTTGGGAGGTGCTAGAAGAGGTTGAACTACAATTGGAAACAACTGTGAGAGAGGAACAGGGGCAAAAGACAGAAAGTTGCGGAATGGAAATTATTAAAGCTGATTTTCAAAAGCAAAGAGAAAGCATGAACACAACATACCGGGAAACGGAGATAGAGACTAATATGCAGAAGCAAAATACAATCCTAGAAAACCAGTTAGAACAGGTCCAATCTGAAGAATGCATCATACAAAACATCAGGACCAAAATAAAGACTGACAGTGGAAACATTGAAAGAGACAGGCACGGAGCTCAAGCAGAAATGAATGCAAGGATGTCTGTACAAGGAAGTTCAGAAATTAAAAAAGAGAACGCAGACGACAAGTCACAAAGGACAAAGAAAGAGAGAAGAGACATGGCAGTTATAAACACTGACATTAAAATTAGGGGAAATTACTCTGTAAAAAGGATGAGAATGAGCAGGAGAGCAAAGGAAGAGTTCTGTAAGATGATGGAAGACACTGAATCTGATAAACAAGACATCGAGGGAAGACAAGTTAAGACCGAGGAGCAGAGGTTAGAAAATATAGAAGACAGATTTGATGATCAGAAAGCAATAGTTGAACAGGTGGACGGAACCAGAGACATAATACAACATAAAGTTAATCAGTTAGAAGAAGACAGCATAGACCCAATCAACAAGAATGAAGTCAACACCAATATGGAGAGAGGGAATGTAAAAGAAATCACAAATATGTTGTGTAAAGTGAGAGAAGATGCAGAGCAAAGCAGGAAGGACTTCACAGAAGAAAAGAGCCAGATACAGTGGATACATTTTCAAGTTAAAAAAAAGAGAAGAGAACTTGACCAGCATCTGGAGAGGACCATGAGGGAAAGGGATGAGGTAGAAATCATGAAGGTAAACATACAACAACAAAGGAAGGAGGTGGAACAAAAGCTGGAAGACACAATAACTACCATTCGTTCGATGAGCAAGATAAAAGCCAGTATAGAAAACGCCGCTAGTGAAATGAACATCACAAAGGAAAAAATACTCAAAGTCCAAAGAAAGATGAATCAGAACAAGGAAGAGGTAAAGAAGAACATGGTAAGTAAATGTTTCTCTTTTTCCCCTATTTAATCCTGCATCAGTAATAGATGTTTACTGACATATTTTTATGTCAGAGTTTTATTTCATGCATAGATTAATCATTTTGAACATGGCCAGCTCAATATTGTTCCATCATTAATCATTAATCATCAAGTAAAACAAAATAAAACAAAGAAACAGGTGAAAACAGAGATTTGAATCTCCTCACCACAAATAAGTATATTAAAGAAGCACTACATTACAAATAAAATGTTTGATCACTTTATGCAGTAGTTTCCTTTTTGTACCTTTACAAAGTATATTATAAAAACAGACACAAATGTAATTAGCATTTGTAAAACAAACCTTTACTTAGAAAGATGACAGAAAGGCAAAGCTTATTCAACCCTCTTTTGTAAATACAAAATTGAAAAGTGATAATCTTTGTGTCTTTGCCTAATTAATATAAAAAAGGATCATATTAATAAATAAAACAAAAATCACAATAAACTGAGAAATCAATTCTACATTGTTCTTCTTCTTTCTTTATTTGAAGGACAAGATGACCTCCTTGAAAGCTCAGGTCAGTAAATGGATGTTGACTGAATCTGCAATCAAAAGTATTTTTTCTTTGAATATATCTAAACCTCAGGAGCCATGGAAAGTAACAGACAGAAACCCTGTAAGAGAACAAACATTTGAAATTTCAACAGACATTAAAAAAGTACATGAACAAATTACTAAAAAGACCATCACTTTGCAACGGTCCATAACATTGGATGACTTGCATCAAAGTGAAGTAAAAGAACAAGAAAATATGCATTTAGAGCAAAGAAAAGAACTCAATTTTGCCGTGGACATGAAGGAAAAGCAGAATGTTGAAGAAACGTTAATGAATGATCAGACACCAATTATGATACATGTAAGAGAAACGGAAGAAGTCGAAAACCAGATGTCCAAACTAAAAGAGAAGGAGGAGAAAATAAAAGAGCAAATTAAGTATGCCACAGAGAACATGGAGCAAAGGAATAAAGATATTAAGAGTCTCATAATAGATATAAATGTCTTGCAGAGTCAAAAAAAAGAAATTGAAAATGGGTTGCAAATGATAACTGACAGTACTGATGTACAACGACTACGGGCCGAGATTTCTAGAACACAAGAAATCATAAGGCAAATGAATCTAGAACTTGAAAACCACACTGAAGAAATTATTATCATCAAACATCATGCGGATGAAGAAAATGAAATTGAAAGGTTGCTACGTGACATAAAACTATTCCAAGAGCTTTTGGAACTAGTAAAGACTGCAATAAGGCAAAGTAAAGTACATCAGAAGGAAGAACGTACAACCGCAGCAAAAAGACAGAAAAGAAAACAAGATCAAAGGTTAGAGAAAACATTGAGAGAGAGAGATGAATTGGATATTTTAAAAATTAAACTGCAAAGACAAACTGATATGACAGAGCAGAAGTTTGAGAAAATAGCAAAAGTTATGATCACCACAGAGAAAATTGCTGCCAAGATCAGACTGAAAAATGAAAACATACAGATTATTATGAAGGAGACAGGAGTACTGACACAGTTGGATGACCTGAACTTTAAGATTGAGGCTGCAAAACATGAACCAGAAAAAAGACGTCATTTAATATTCCAGGGAAGAGCTGACCTATTAAAAGTCAACAATGCAATTTGGCTGTATAAGGCTAGTGAACATGCCTTTAAAATAACTGAAAGGGAGGAATGGGACATACAGAGAAGAACAAGGAACAAAATGGGAAAAAAAATGTTCCAACTGAGATCAGAAAATGTCAAACTGAAAGAGGACATTTTATCAATAGGGCACAGCCTGTATCAGAAAATATATGAAATTGAACAGCAAAATTACTTCATAAGTAACCAGGTAATTGAGAGAGGAGAGATTGAAATGCTGAATCAACAAATTCAATTTGAGATGGAAAATGTGAGCCAAGCTGAGGCAGAAATACAACAGATGAACCGTTTAAGGACAAGCATGGAAACAAACAAACAAGAGATTAATGACAGGGTGCAAATGGTCAAAGGAGAAATAAAAGAAATGGAACTAAAGTCTGAGCTGAAATTTAAAAAAAGAGAAAGTAAACAATTATTTGAAAAAGGAATACAAAAGATGGAGGATAGTGAAATGAAGCGGAATGAACTAGAAAGAGAAAAGGAAATACGGAGGAAAGAGACCACAAAGACAAGAGAATTGGAGCAAAGACAGGAAAACAACATGAGAGAGGTGGATGTGTCAGAAATATGGCGGATAAAATTGCAACGTCAGAAGGAGGTGCTGGATAGGGAGAAGCAGAGATTCAAAGACAAGACCACTCTTATCCAAGTTTCCAGAGAGCAGTATGAACAAAGTCTGGAAAATAATATGTTGAAAAACATCAGGGAGAAAGTTAAAAATATACACAAAAAATCAATAGCCACAGATTTTATTATAAGCCATCACAACATGAGACAAGAGATTAATGTAAATTTGGAAGCAATTAGGAGCGAAATGGAAATTGTTGGAAATGTAAGGGTTCATTTAGGGGAACATAGAGAAACTCTCAAAGCAATTAAAACTGACAACAGGACTCTAAGAGACAACATGAGCAAAATAAAATATCAGTTAGAGATGGACTCTAAAGAAAGGGCAATAGGCTTAGAAGCAGAGATGGATGATATTGACCACAATGGCAAGAATATACAAAAGCATGTACTCAAAAAAAGTGGCATTCAAAAAGAGCAAGAAGGTAAAAATATCCTTGTTGTTGAGAAATATGCTCGCAAGATGGAGACACAGAAGAGGAAGAAGGTGCTCGACCAGCGATTGGAGAGGATCAACAGAGAGAGGGATGAACTAGAGATCATTAAACTGAAGATGCAGAGAGAAAAAGATGAGAGCAAATGTGGAATTGTTCAGTTTGACAATTTTGTTCAAAAGCACTGGCATCTAATTCAGACAGGTATGGAGGAATTTAGAGTAATGAAAAAACAGAGTGAAGATGTAAATGAATACTTTAAAGATCAAAAGCAGCACATGAAGGCCCAGGCAAAGAAAATAACCAAGGGAAGAGAGGAGGTGGAGCAACTCAAGATGGACATTCAAAGACAAAAAGAAATTATGAGAAGTTATTTAAAGAGCATGCAACAAATGCAAACAAATTTAGAGCAAGAGAGATTCAAGACTATAAAAGTCAATGTCAATCAATCAATCAAAAAAGAAAAGAAAAGAAACAAGGGAAAACGTGAAGACATAGTGCTAAGACAAAACAAATTGAACAGTGAAAAGGAGTTATTGCTCAAATATGAACAACAGCAAGTAAAGAAGGGACACAATGACATGAAGAGACGGATTTGTGATACGTTGAGTGAGAAAAGAAAAAAAATGCCCAGAACTGATAGGAAACCAATGCAGAAGAAGGTAGTTGAAGTCCAATGTGCAAAAGGGCATAATGTAAAAGAGAGGTATTTGAAAAGTGAAAAAATACCTTTAAAACATTCTACAGACACTCTTGTTTTACAATTAAACATACCATTTCCTGAAATCATTAACAAGAAAAGAGGTATTTTACAATCGGAAATAAATCTGAACAGTAAATTGAAATCATTTGAAACTGTGAGAGCAAAACTTAAACATTTCAGTGAAAAAATTGTAAAAATCAAAGTGGAGGAATTAGGAGAACATACTACAAATGTAGAAAAACTGTGCATTGTGATGGAGCAAAAGCAAACAGAGCTTGATGATGAAACACATAAATTGCCTGGTTATCACCAAATGTTCATAAGCGAAAAGCAAGCTCTCCTAAGGATGGTTTCAAACCGGTTCAAAGATGGCAATCAAAAGGACAAACAAGATGGTGAAAAGCTAAAAGAGGACATGATTAAAAAGATAGAGCATCAGAAAAATATGAACTGTATTATCAAAGAGGAATTGGACTTGGAGATTATGAAATTTGACATGAAGAAACAAATGAGCCTGCTTAAACATGACGGAAAAGAAATGAAAGAGAAGAAAAAAACGCTTAAAATAACAATGTCTCAGCTAAAAAATGTGAAAAAATACATCAATAGGCTTTTTCAAGAGATACATGTCAAACTGGAAAACACAAAGATTGAGTTCCAAAAGGAGAAAGAAATCAGAGAAAATAAGTTTAATGAGATAAACAGAGCGAGAGACTACATTAAGGATTTGATCCTTAAGCTTCATGCGGAAAAAGACAAGTTAAAGGTCGACATGGACATTATTATCTTAAAACAAGATAAACTAGAACTCAAGAAAGATGATTCCAATAGACAAAAACAAGAACTGGAAAATATAAAGACGAGTGTAATGGCTGGAAGACAGGAACTGGACATTTGGAGGGAGGATCTCAACAAGAGGAAAGAAGAGATTGGAGCTGCCATGAACTCCATCAATGGAGAGAAAGAAAAACTCAGTCAGATGAAGAGTAGTGCTGACATGGACAGACACAGGTTGGACAATGAGAAGGTCAGATTGGAAGAAGAAGGGTCTGAACAGAAAATAAGACAAGCGTATCTCTTGAATGAAATGAAATTAATAGAAACTTTTAAAGGACAATTTAAAACGCTGACTAAAAGGGTTAAGGAAGACAAGAAAGAAAAAATGAAAGAATTACAACTACATAGTGAAGATGTAGTAGAGATGTACACTGAATTGAAACAAAAGCTTGCAGCTCTAAATGTACAGAAAGAAGGTGTGGCTTGTTCCACCGAACTGATGGAGAGGGAAAAGAAAAGTCTGATAAGTATACTGTCAGACATGGTCATCCAAAGAGAAAACAATGAATGCCAAAGGAAGCAGAAATTTGAGGTGTTCAAAGAATATGTGAACAAACTGAAGGCAGAATTAAGGCAAGAAAGAAATCATCTCGACAGAGAGAGTGAGATGATGACGACAGAAAAACTGGACTTGGAGCTGATGAAGTGTGACATTCTGAAACAAAGAGACATATTAGAACAAGAGCAACAAGATATAAAGAGGGAGCAATTCGAACTGGAAACCACAAAAATTGAGATTCATAAACAGAAAGAACGCAGAGAAAATATGTTTATTGAGATAAACAGAGCGAGAGGCTACATTAAGGATTTGATCCTTAAGCTTGATGCAGAAAAAGACAAGTTAAAGATCGACATGGACATTATTATCTTAAAACAAGATAAACTAGAACTCAAGAAAGATGATTCCAATAGACAAAAACAAGAACTGGAAACAATAAAGACGAGTGTAATGGCTGGAAGACAGGAACTGGAACTTTGGAGGGAGGATCTCACCAAGAAGAAAGAAGAGATTGGAGCTGCTATTAACTCCATCAATGGAGAGAAAGAACAACTCAGTCAGATGAAGAGTAGTGCTGACATGGACAGACACAGGTTGGACAATGAGAAGGTCAGATTGGAAGGAGAAAGGTCTGAACTGAAAATAAGAGAAGCTCATCTCTTGAATGAAATGAAATTAATGGAAACTTTTAAAGGACAACTTAAAACGCTGACTAAAAGGATGAGGGAAGACAAGAAAGAAAAGAGGAAAAAATTACAACTACATAGTGAAGATGTAGTAGAGCTGTACACTGAATTGAAACAAAAAGCTTGCAGCTCTAAATGTACACAAAGAAAGTGTGGCTTTTTCCACCGAGCTGATGGAGAGGGAAAAGAAAAGTCTGATAAGTATACTGTCAGACATGGTCATCCAAAGAGACAACATTCAATGCCAAAGGAAGCAGAAATTTGAGGTGTTCAAAGAATATGTGACCAAACTGAAGGCAGAATTAAGGCAAGAAAGAAATGACCTCGACAGAGAGAGTGAGAAAATGAAGACAGAAAAACTGGACTTGGAGCTGATGAAGTGTGACATTCTGAAACAAAGAGACATATTAGAACAAGAGCAACAAGATATAAAGAGGGAGCAATTCGAACTGGAAACCACAAAGATTGAGATTCATAAACAGAAAGAACTCGGAGAAAATATGTTTATTGAGATAAACAGAGCGAGAGGCTACATTAAGGATTTGATCCTTAAGCTTCATGCAGAAAAAGACAAGTTAAAGGTCGACATGGACATTATTATCTTAAAACAAGATAAACTAGAACTCAAGAAAGATGATTCCAATAGACAAAAACAAGAACTGGAAACAATAAAGACGAGTGTAATTGCTGGAAGACAGGAACTGGAACTTTGGAGGGAGGATCTCACCAAGAAGAAAGAAGAGATTGGAGCTGCTATTAACTCCATCAATGGAGAGAAAGAACAACTCAGTCAGATGAAGAGTAGTGCTGACATGGACAGACACAGGTTGGACAATGAGAAGGTCAGATTGGAAGGAGAAAGGTCTGAACTGAAAATAAGAGAAGCTCATCTCTTGAATGAAATGAAATTAGTAGAAACTTTTAAAGGACAACTTAAAACGCTGACTAAAAGGATGAGGGAAGACAAGAAAGAAAAGAGGAAAAAATTACAACTACATAGTGAAGATGTAGTAGAGCTGTACACTGAATTGAAACAAAAGCTTGCAGCTCTAAATGTACAGAAAGAAAGTGTGGCTTTTTCCACCGAGCTGATGGAGAGGGAAAAGAAAAGTCTGATAAGTATACTGTCAGACATGGTCATCCAAAGAGACAACATTCAATGCCAAATGAAGCAGAAATTTGAGGTGTTCAAAGAATATGTGAACAAACTGAAGGCAGAATTAAGGCAAGAAAGAAATGACCTCGACAGAGAGAGTGAGAAAATGAAGACAGAAAAACTGGACTTGGAGCTGATGAAGTGTGACATTCTGAAACAAAGACACATATTAGAACAAGAGCAACGAGATATAAAGAGGGAGCAATTCGAACTGGAAACCACAAAGATTGAGATTCATAAACAGAAAGAACTCGGAGAAAATATGTTTATTGAGATAAACAGAGCGAGAGGCTACATTAAGGATTTGATCCTTAAGCTTGATGCAGAAAAAGACAGGTTAAAGGTCAACATGGACATTATTATCTTAAAGCAAGATAAACTAGAACTCAAGAAAGATGATTCCCATAGACAAAACAAGAACTGGAAACAATAAAGACGAGTGTAATTGCTGGAAGACAGGAACTGGAACTTTGGGAGGGAGGATCTCCCCAAGAAGAAAGAGAGATTGGAGCTGCTATTAACTCCATCAATGGAGAGAAAGAACACTACGTCAGATGAAGAGTAGTGCTGACATGGACAGACACAGGTTGGACAATGAGAAGGTCAGATTGGAAGGAGAAAGGTCTGAACTGAAAATAAGAGAATCTCATCTCTTGAATGAAATGAAATCAATAGAAACTTTTAAAGGACAACTTAAAACGCTGACTAAAAGGATGAGGGAAGACAAGAAAGAAAAGAGGAAAAAATTACAACTACATAGTGAAGATGTAGTAGAGCTGTACACTGAATTGAAACAAAAGCTTACAGCTCTAAATGTACAGAAAGAAAGTGTGGCTTGTTCCACCGAGCTGATGGAGAGGGAAAAGAAAAGTCTGATAAGTATACTGTCAGACATGGTCATCCAAAGAGACAACATTCAATGCCAAAGGAAGCAGAAATTTGAGGTGTTCAAAGAATATGTGAACAAACTGAAGGCAGAATTAAGGCAAGAAAGAAATGACCTCGACAGAGAGAGTGAGAAAATGAAGACAGAAAAACTGGACTTGGAGCTGATGAAGTGTGACATTCTGAAACAAAGACACATATTAGAACAAGATAAACGAGATATAAAGAGGGAGCAATTCGAACTGGAAACCACAAAGATTGAGATTCATAAACAGAAAGAACTCGGAGAAAATATGTTTATTGAGATAAACAGAGCGAGAGGCTACATTAAGGATTTGATCCTTAAGCTTGATGCAGAAAAAGACAGGTTAAAGGTCAACATGGACATTATTATCTTAAAACAAGATAAACTAGAACTCAAGAAAGATGATTCCAATAGACAAAAACAAGAACTGGAAACAATAAAGACGAGTGTAATTGCTGGAAGACAGGAACTGGAATTTTGGAGGGAGGATCTCACCAAGAAGAAAAAAGAGATTGGAGCTGCTATTAACTCCATCAATGAAGAGAAAGAACAACTCAGTCAGATGAAGAGTAGTGCTGACATGGACAGACACAGGTTGGACAATGAGAAGGTCAGATTGGAAGGAGAAAGGTCTGAACTGAAAATAAGAGAAGCTCATCTCTTGAATGAAATGAAATTAATAGAAACTTTTAAAGGACAACTTAAAACGCTGACTAAAAGGATGAGGGAAGACAAGAAAGAAAAGAGGAAAAAATTACAACTACATAGTGAAGATGTAGTAGAGCTGTACACTGAATTGAAACAAAAGCTTGCAGCTCTAAATGTACAGAAAGAAAGTGTGGCTTTTTCCACCGAGCTGATGGAGAGGGAAAAGAAAAGTCTGATAAGTATACTGTCAGACATGGTCATCCAAAGAGACAACATTCAATGCCAAAGTAAGCAGAAATTTGAGGTGTTCAAAGAATATGTGACCAAACTGAAGGCAGAATTAAGGCAAGAAAGAAATGACCTCGACAGAGAGAGTGAGAAAATGAAGACAGAAAAACTGGACTTGGAGCTGATGAAGTGTGACATTCTGAAACAAAGAGACATATTAGAACAAGAGCAACAAGATATAAAGAGGGAGCAAATCGAACTGGAAACCACAAAGATGGAGATTCATAAACAGAAAGAACTCGGAGAAAATATGTTTATTGAGATAAACAGAGCGATAGGCTACATTAAGGATTTGATCCTTAAGCTTGATGCAGAAAAAGACAAGTTAAAGGTCGACATGGACATTATTATCTTAAAACAAGATAAACTAGAACTCAATAAAGGTGATTCCAATAGACAAAAACAAGAACTGGAAACAATAAAGACGAGTGTAATGGCTGGAAGACAGGAACTGGAACTTTGGAGGGAGGATCTCACCAAGAAGAAAGAAGAGATTGGAGCTGCTATTAACTCCATCAATGGAGAGAAAGAACAACTCAGTCAGATGAAGAGTAGTGCTGACATGGACAGACACAGGTTGGACAATGAGAAGGTCAGATTGGAAGGAGAAAGGTCTGAACTGAAAATAAGAGAATCTCATCTCTTGAATGAAATGAAATCAATAGAAACTTTTAAAGGACAACTTAAAACGCTGACTAAAAGGATGAAGGAAGACAAGAAAGAAAAGAGGAAAAAATACAACTACATAGTGAAGATGTAGTAGAGCTGTACACTGAATTGAAACAAAAGCTTGCAGCTTCTAAATGTACAGAAAGAAAGTGTGGCTTTTTTCCACCGAGCTGATGGAGAGGGAAAAGAAAAGTCTGATAAGTATACTGTCAGACATGGTCATCCTAAGAGACAACATCCATGCCAAATGGAAGCAGAATTTGGAGTGTTCAAGGATATGTGACCAAACTGAAGGCAGAATTTAAGGCAGGAAAGAAATGACCTCGACAGAGAGAGTGAGAAATTGAAGACAGAAAAACTGGACTTGGAGCTGATGAAGTGTGACATTCTGAAACAAAGAGACATATTAGAACAAGAGCAACAAGATATAAAGAGGGAGCAATTCGAACTGGAAACCACAAAGATTGAGATTCATAAACAGAAAGAACTCGGAGAAAATATGTTTATTGAGATAAACAGAGCGAGAGGCTACATTAAGGATTTGATCCTTAAGCTTCATGCAGAAAAAGACAAGTTAAAGGTCGCCATGGGCATTATTATCTTAAAACAAGATAAACTAGAACTCAAAGAAAGATGATTCCAATAGACAAAAACAAGAACTGGAAACAATAAAGACGAGTGTAATTGCTGGAAGACAGGGAGCTGGACCTTTGGAGGGAGGATCTCACCAAGAAGAAAGAAGAGATTGGAGCTGCTATTAACTCCATCAATGAAGAGAAAGAACAACTCAGTCAGATGAAGAGTAGTGCTGACATGGACAGACACAGGTTGGACAATGAGAAGGTCAGATTGGAAGGAGAATGGTCTGAACTGAAAAATACGAGAAGCTCATCTCTTGAATGAAATGAAATTAGTAGAAACTTTTAAAGGACAACTTAAAACGCTGACTAAAAGGATGAAGGAAGACAAGAAAGAAAAGAGGAAAAAATTACAACTACATAGTGAAGATGTAGTAGAGCTGTACACTGAATTGAAACAAAAGCTTGCAGCTCTAAATGTACAGAAAGAAAGTGTGGCTTTTTCCACCGAGCTGATGGAGAGGGAAAAGAAAAGTCTGATAAGTATACTGTCAGACATGGTCATCCAAAGAGACAACATTCAATGCCAAAGGAAGCAGAAATTTGAGGTGTTCAAAGAATATGTGAACAAACTGAAGGCAGAATTAAGGCAAGAAAGAAATGACCTCGACAGAGAGAGTGAGAAAATGAAGACAGAAAAACTGGACTTGGAGCTGATGAAGTGTGACATTCTGAAACAAAGAGACATATTAGAACAAGAGCAACAAGATATAAAGAGGGAGCTAATCGAACTGGAAACCACAAAGATTGAGATTCATAAACAGAAAGAACTCGGAGAAAATATGTTTATTGAGATAAACAGAGCGATAGGCTACATTAAGGATTTGATCCTTAAGCTTGATGCAGAAAAAGACAAGTTAAAGGTCGACATGGACATTATTATCTTAAAACAAGATAAACTAGAACTCAATAAAGGTGATTCCAATAGACAAAAACAAGAACTGGAAACAATAAAGACGAGTGTAATGGCTGGAAGACAGGAACTGGAACTTTGGAGGGAGGATCTCACCAAGAAGAAAGAAGAGATTGGAGCTGCTATTAACTCCATCAATGGAGAGAAAGAACAACTCAGTCAGATGAAGAGTAGTGCTGACATGGACAGACACAGGTTGGACAATGAGAAGGTCAGATTGGAAGGAGAAAGGTCTGAACTGAAAATAAGAGAATCTCATCTCTTGAATGAAATGAAATCAATAGAAACTTTTAAAGGACAACTTAAAACGCTGACTAAAAGGATGAAGGAAGACAAGAAAGAAAAGAGGAAAAAATTACAACTACATAGTGAAGATGTAGTAGAGCTGTACACTGAATTGAAACAAAAGCTTGCAGCTCTAAATGTACAGAAAGAAAGTGTGGCTTGTTCCACCGAGCTGATGGAGAGGGAAAAGAAAAGTCTGATAAGTATACTGTCAGACATGGTCATCCAAAGAGACAACATTCAATGCCAAAGGAAGCAGAAATTTGAGGTGTTCAAAGAATATGTGAACAAACTGAAGGCAGAATTAAGGCAAGAAAGAAATGACCTCGACAGAGAGAGTGAGAAAATGAAGACAGAAAAACTGGACTTGGAGCTGATAAAGTGTGACATTCTGAAACAAAGACACATATTAGAACAAGAGCAACGAGATATAAAGAGGGAGCAATTCGAACTGGAAACCACAAAGATTGAGATTCATAAACAGAAAGAACTCGGAGAAAATATGTTTATTGAGATAAACAGAGCGAGAGGCTACATTAAGGATTTGATCCTTAAGCTTGATGCAGAAAAAGACAGGTTAAAGGTCAACATGGACATTATTATCTTAAAACAAGATAAACTAGAACTCAAGAAAGATGATTCCAATAGACAAAAACAAGAACTGGAAACAATAAAGACGAGTGTAATTGCTGGAAGACAGGAACTGGAACTTTGGAGGGAGGATCTCACCAAGAAGAAAGAAGAGATTGGAGCTGATATTAACTCCATCAATGGAGAGAAAGAACAACTCAGTCAGATGAAGAGTAGTGCTGACATGGACAGACACAGGTTGGACAATGAGAAGGTCAGATTGGAAGGAGAAAGGTCTGAACTGAAAATAAGAGAAGCTCATCTCTTGAATGAAATGAAATCAATAGAAACTTTTAAAGGACAACTTAAAACGCTGACTAAAAGGATGAAGGAAGACAAGAAAGAAAAGAGGAAAAAATTACAACTACATAGTGAAGATGTAGTAGAGCTGTACACTGAATTGAAACAAAAGCTTGCAGCTCTAAATGTACAGAAAGAAAGTGTGGCTTGTTCCACCGAGCTGATGGAGAGGGAAAAGAAAAGTCTGATAAGTATACGGTCAGACATGGTCATCCAAAGAGACAACATTCAATGCCAAAGGAAGCAGAAATTTGAGGTGTTCAAAGAATATGTGAACAAACTGAAGGCAGAATTAACGCAAGAAAGAAATGACCTCGACAGAGAGAGTGAGAAAATGAAGACAGAAAAACTGGACTTGGAGCTGATGAAGTGTGACATTCTGAAACAAAGAGACATATTAGAACAAGAGCAACAAGATATAAAGAGGGAGCAAATCGAACTGGAAACCACAAAGATGGAGATTCATAAACAGAAAGAACTCGGAGAAAATATGTTTATTGAGATAAACAGAGCGAGAGGCTACATTAAGGATTTGATCCTTAAGCTTGATGCAGAAAAAGACAAGTTAAAGGTCGACATGGACATTATTATCTTAAAACAAGATAAACTTGAACTCAAGAAAGATGATTTCAATAGACGAAAACAAGAACTGGAAACAATGAAGACGAGTGTAATGGCTGGAAGACAGGAACTGGAACTTTGGAGGGGGGATCTCAACAAGAAGGAAGAGATTGGAGCTGCCAAGTTCTCTAGGTCAATTCACCTCATACAACCCAGGAGACCAAAAATCATTCAATTTAATCCAAGGAGACAAAAGGACTACAAAATGGATATGCATACATCTAGGAAGATCTATAGGGACAGGCTCCCTTTTGACTTGACGCCAAAACCAAAGAAACAAATGGTGACAATTAAGATTGACAAGGCAGTACAAACTGAGGTCGTAATAGAATGGCTTCAAAAGGACAATGACGAGAAACCATATTTTATTAAACTTATACAATTTGAACATGAGAAGGGTGAAAAACACCCTAATGTGACCAATCAGACTCAAAAACATCAGTGGAAGTTAGGAGACACACATTATTTTGGAATAAAAGACAAATACTTATTAACTAAGAGGGAAGATATGCTGATACTCAACAATGAAGAGGTAAAAAATGATCAAATTACTAAACTTGCAAAAACATTGGCGGCGTCTACTGTTGATTTTACAGATGTGAAAATGTCAAAAAGACATTATTTGCGAAAGCTCTGGAAGGACACAAAAATGGAACGGATGGAAATTGATCAGATGAAGCACATGAGTCATGAAATGAGAAACTACCTTGAGAAAAGAATCAATGTGATTGATCGCTTTGTCAAGATAACGTGGTCCCAAAAAGAAAAGAAACTCTTAGAGGAGATACAGAAACCAGAGTTATGTAAAGACATGACATCCCAGAGTAACTTCGGGAGAGGCCGCAAAAAAAACAATGACAAATACACACAGCTTGGACAATGTGAAGTTCAATTTGAGAAACTAAGTGTTAATGGAGTGTCAGGGACAGTGACAACTAGTTACAAGGCTAAACAAACCAACCAGGTTAATACAACCAAAGAGAATGCAACATTCCCGTTGACGGAACATGCTTTTGCCAAAATGTACCAAGCGCCGATAATAAAAGAAGAAACTCAGGTAGCTCCAGAGACGTCCAGTGGGCTCCTCTGTCAGTTGCAGCATTATTGCTATCGATGCTGCTACCACTGCTGTGGATGCTGGAAGCCCAGCCTCCATGAAGAGAATTGAGAGACCTGTATTCTGTATGTGAATGATCCTGCCATACATTTTAAACACAAAACATTTGGAAGTGTTTCTGTAGTCAAATGTAGTCATTTTAGGGCTGTGAATAGAATTTTTAAAAATTAACTAATTAATGGCGGTTGTTATTTTTAATGAATGTTTGTTTTTCTTTTAAAGACGTAAAACGTAATGAGTAATCACTTTAGAAAGCGTGCATTTTAGACACTTGTTTAAATGTTAACGTCATTTTAAACACAAAACTACACACATTTGATCATCTTGGAGGCAGAATTCCAACAGGTGTTGCAACTCTGCACTTTGCTCTCAACTCTCCATAATTTAACGGCTGTTTTTGAAGTGCCAACAATCTCCCCACATTTAGCAAGGCCGTTAGCAAGGATGGTCAGGGACACAGTGGTGGTCCTCTGCAGACCTGCGTGCCACGCAGGGTAATGTTATATTTTCAGATGGAAGTAGCATAGCAGCAAGCTTAGCATAGCAGTGCTTTAAGTGGTCCGTTTGACACTCACCCCCCTTCTGTTTGACACGTGGAGTAATTCCTCTGCACAGTTCTCCGCTGTACGTCGCGCCTATTTTTGCTTTACTTCCAATGCTAAAAGCTCTCTCCACCTTGATGTAACTCACTACCGCGGTAAACAAACGTAAAAAAAATGTTATTGCATTCATCTCTGCCACAGCCCTTATATATATAAAAACATATATAACTTTGCTCTCTTTCCAACTGGCAAGTAGTTACAGCAGTGTAGAACTTGACATGGCATTGTTGTATTATCTTGGCCAAAAGAAGTTATAGGGAGATCAGACCAAAATTCTGAGAAATAGTATGTACTCTTGATATTGCCATGGCTTTGACAAAGGCTGTCATTCCACCCAACATTGACCATTAGTCTTTCCTCGGAGCTCGATTTCCTTCTTTAAATACACCCATTTTCTTCCAAATGCCTCTAACCTATGGAAAGGGGTATAGACAAAGGTGGAACATTTTATAAAAACATTGCTTTTTAATTAAACTCTTTTGCTAGTAAAATCTAATAAGGTGGCCAAATATGTATAGCAACAGTTGGCATTCTAAAACTTTTTATTCCTTAATTTGTAAATTGGGTTAGCGTATATATTTCAACACAAAGGTCAGATAGGACTTTTTAAATAGATATGCTATATCCTTCTCTTAGAATTATTCTAAGATGCTATTCTTTCAATAAAGGCATATTATAGCTGCATGGTGCCTAAAGACTGTGTTAGTATGCTTACAAAGAAGGTCTTAGTGTAAATTACTATACTCAGCCAGTCAGAAACAAGAAAGACTGGATAACAGCCTTGTGACATTATGTATAAGTAACATATGAGTAAACCATATTTAGCCTAAAAGTTTTGAATTGATGTACATTTACATGGAAATTACGGAGTTTTAGGAAGAGGGCCCCCCAGTAAATCTAAATGCAGGCCACAACATATGACTGGAGATATTGCATTATATGTTTTTAAGTAACTTAAAGATGCCCAGTCGAAAGACACTGAACCAACGGCTCACAAGAAGTAGCTCGCAGGAATTTGGAGACAAGCTCCAAAGTCAGGGAGCTCCGTTTTTGTAGAAGGAGGACAGAGTGATAGCGTGGAATGATGATGGCTATGATGGAAAATGTATATAACCTGATGGATTACTTTTTTCGGGGTTCTTGAGCGGAAGCATAGGTCTGTATTGTGAAGCCTCAGGAGACCTTTGCATCACAATTTTTATTTTTTATTAAAGCCACTTATAACACAACGTATCCTGAAATTCTTTGTCCCAGCCTAAAGATTTCCTTGAAATTCAATCTTATAAACTTTGCAAAAAAACTACCAACACTACATGATAGTCTTGATAAGTACACACGAGTTAGTGACTATTTGTCTCAATAAACATCACCATGTTTCTAGGATTCTCCTTTGGGAGAAGTATGTCTGCGCGTGGTTCAATCAGAAAGAGTGTGATTTGGCTCTATAGTTTTGGTTACTTATATTTTGTATATAAGTTTGACTTGAGATGAAGACCTCATGAAGTACTCTCGTTTAGGCTAAGCCTTGGAGTAACAACAAATTACCTACAGTAACAACAAATGCCTACACATTTATTCCACAGTTGAAGAAATAAAACAACAAACTGATATCCATCTGGTCAATGAACAGAATGACATACCAGTACAATAACTAGTTATGAGAGACATATGACATTTTTTTTCCACTAGCATTAAATGATTATAAACCACAACATTCTGTAGGAAATTATATTATTGTTTCAAAACACTACATCAATATTGAAGCAAAGAATAAAGAGATATGTCAATAGTTATTTCTTGTATTTAGAATTTGCTCCTTCACACTCTTGCTCACTGGAGAAAATAGCTAGCTAGCTCAGTGTTAACATAGCTCGATACAATATTCCCTTTAATTTGCCTCAAGTAAACCTAAATGTAAGCAGGTAACAATCATTAACAACTATGTAGATTCGACAGAACCACATTCAACTACCTGTACTTACAATTTGAGTCTTTGCATAATTTAACTGCGGTCAACTCAGCCGACGCTTGAATTTTAGTGTATGCTGATATTTACGGTATTGAACAAGTAACCGAAATAAAAGCTATTTAATCAAATATTCTGGACAATGACTGAAGTATGTGTGTTCAGGACCATTATGACTACTGTTGTACAAAAAAATGAATAATTTTACAGTACAAAGTAAAGTAATTATTCTATATTTATATCCTAAGTTTCAAGTTCAAAAGGACCATTTCTCAAAGTTTGAACTGCAATAAAAATACTTTTCTCAATAATTCTAAAAAAGACTAACATACATGTGTTAAGGACATCTCTGACTACTATTGTAAGAAAAGTGAAATATTTTTACTGCACAGATTTGGAGATTTCTTCAAAGTAAAAACCCTGTAATTACAAGTTCAAAAGACCATATCTCCATACAGGCACGTGCACAGATAGACCCCTAGTGGTGCTCAAGCACCAGCCCTTTTGCCCTAGATGAGAAAAGTGCCCCTTCTGCTGGAGCCCATTGTTTTCTTCATTCATTAATATTTCAAATGAAAATTACTCTCTCTGTCATCAAGCAAGTGTGTTTTGATATCAGACTGGCATTTCTTTGAGTTCTTATGAAAGAACGAAGTTCTTATGAAAGAACGAAGCCCCGCCCCGCCCCTCCCTCTACCCCCACTCCTCCTCTTGGTGGTCGTGCAGTGCTGAGCGCCAAACGGCTGCAGTATCGGACACGCAGGTAAGGACGGTGTTTGTTGATAAATTAATCAAAGCATCAGCATCATGCTGAATATAAAATAATTTTACAATACAGATTCAAAGATTTTGCCATATTTTTGAAAGTTCAAAAACACCATTTCTCCATGTTGTTTGCTAAATTATATTAATCCTGGGCCCTGTTCCTCGTACATGGCTAACTGAGATGACGTAAACGGTAGATCAGGCTTTTCGGTTCCCGAAGCAGGTTTGGCTAAATCACCATAGCAACACATCGAAAAACCACTCCCCCGGTTAAAGGGCATCTCTCTTCCTCATTGATGAAGTAGCGATATTGGTTAGATTAATCTAATCTAACGATGACGTCCTATAAGAGTGCGATCAATGCTGAAGACAAGGAATCATTTATTTACAAGAAGATTTTCTCGAGCCCTAACGTAACGTGAACACCACACGCTGTAGCCGAGGATTGACTGTCCAACCGCAGACTGTCTCACACACTGTCCCACGGACTGTACTCTCATACTGTACATGTTCGTATAGTGTTGCGATGCAGAGGAAGGCCTGCATCTGGTGCATATCGTGCTCTTCGTAAAGTTCTGTTTGTTTATTCAGCGCTTAATAAACTTCTGGATGTTTCATCTTTCACTGCTTCAATTGATCAAATGTCTGATTATAACTAATATATATATATAGTTATATATATATATATATAACTATATATATATAGTTATATATATATAACTATATATCTATATATAACTATATATATATATATAGTTATATATATACATAATGATCTGCCCTTACACATATTCAGACACACACATAATACAACTCCTAGGTCTATATGGTCATCTACACATACATATGATACATAAGCTGCAGTAAATATATCTATTACTATTAATTCGTATCAATTAGCCTCTTTGGGCTTGTTTTTTGCCACCAACATCTCATTGGATGATGATGCATTCCATGAAGCATCATGCCAGCAGGCACATTTAAAGATATATAGGGCCGACGGTGGCCCAAACAATGAAAAAGCATTCGATGGGGAGAATAAATGGCAGAAACCTTTAGAGAGACACAGTGTAATGTAATGGTACTATTTTATGGACATGCGGAGTTAGGTGTATGTAGGGTTGCCACCAGTCCCTTAAAAAAGGGAATCTATCTAATATTTGAGAATAAAATAGCGGGTCCCGTTTTGAATCAATGCGGGATGGGATTTGTCCCGTATTTTACAAGTTGTCTGCAGCATCCCATGCAAATAATCCCCCCCGAATTCTGTGAACATTCGTCCTGTTCAGCCCCTGGTAGGGTAATACTCGCTGCCATTGTTGGTGTGATTGGCCGTGATTCTGAAAGAAACCAATCAGAGTCAGAGGAGGGCGGGTCTCTTGGAGTGTCGATTTGAAAGAATGGCGGAGGCAGCTTCAGGTACCACCCCGTGTCCAGCTTTGAACGAAAGCGGATGCAAAAGTACAGACAAGAGTGGGCGGAATCACCTGGGGATGCAGAGTCGCCCCCCCGTCGGCCGTAGACTCTTCCGCCTTCTAATGTAGGACGCGCACGCGTGATTATCCTCATGACTGCCATCTGTATAGTGGCAAATCAGTGTCAAAATTCAAGAGCGCAAATCATGCGCTCGCTTAAATCAGTCGCGAGCAAAAGTCCATAGAAAGGGATAGAAAGACAAAGGCAAAAGACAAATGACACCTCACTGTAAGCGTAGTAGACCATAGATGACAACCAGCTACTACTATGGTGGCAAATCACTGTCAGAATTCGAGGGCGCAAATCAGGTTTATGCGCGCGCGTAAATCAAACATCCGCAAGCTGTCTCGCGAGAGCAAAAGTCTGCGGAATGTGAACTTCCTCGCTCGCGAGGCTACTCTCTGCTCGTGCTTGAAGGTGTTTTCTATGGGCTCGCTGTTGTTCTTTTTGACAGTAAGGGGGCGGAGCCAGTCACCACGGTATCTCCACATCTAATTGGTTACAAACCCTGTCTTTGGATTGGCTGGAGTTACGCATTCACAGAACTATAGAAGCCGATTTCCGCACAATAGAAAGGGGATAGAAAGTCAAAATCATGAGATAAAACGTTGTCAAAACCCAAACGACACAGAGGGAAAAGAAAAGTCTGATAAGTATACTGTCAGACATGGTCATCCAAAGAGACAACATTCAATGCCAAAGGAAGCAGAAATTTGAGGTGTTCAAAGAATATGTGAACAAACTGAAGGCAGAATTAAGGCAAGAAAGAAATGACCTCGACAGAGAGAGTGAGAAAATGAAGACAGAAAAACTGGACTTGGAGCTGATAAAGTGTGACATTCTGAAACAAAGACACATATTAGAACAAGAGCAACGAGATATAAAGAGGGAGCAATTCGAACTGGAAACCACAAAGATTGAGATTCATAAACAGAAAGAACTCGGAGAAAATATGTTTATTGAGATAAGAGAGAGGCTACATTAAGGATTTGATCCTTAAGCTTCATGCAGAAAAAGACAAGTTTAAGGTCGACATGGACATTAATTTTAAAACAAGATAAACTAGAACTCAAGAAAGACGATTTCAATAGACAAAAACAAGAACTGGAAACCATAAAGACGGGTGTAATGGCTGGAAGACAGGAACTGGAACTTTGGAGGGGGGATCTCAACAAGAAGGAAGAGATTGGAGCTGCCAAGTTCTCTAGGTCAATTCGCCTCATACAACCCAGGAGACCAAAAATCATTCAATTTAATCCAAGGAGACATAAAGACTACAAAATGAATATGCATACATCTAGGAAGATCTATAGGAACAGGCTCCCTTTTGACTTGACGCCAAAACCAAAGAAACAAATGGTCACAATTAAGATTGACAAGGCAGTACAAACTTAGGTCGTTATAGAATGGCTTCAAAAGGACGATGACGAGAAACCATATTTTATTAAACTTATAGAATTTGAACATGAGAAGTGTGAAAAACAACCTAATGTGACCAATCAGACTGAAAAACATCAGTGGAAGTTAGGAGACGCACATTATTTTGGAATAAAAGATAATTACTTATTTAAGAGGGAAGATATGCTGATACTCAAGAATGAAGTGGTAAAAAATGATCAAATTACTAAACTTGCAAAAACATTGCCGTCGTCTACTGTTGATTTTACAGATGTGAAAATGTCAAAAAGACATTATTTGCGAAAGCTCTGGAAGGACACAAAAATGGAACGGATGGAAATTGATCAGATGAAGCACATGAGTCATGAAATGAGAAACTACCTTGAGAAAAGAATCAATGTGAATGATCGCTTTGTCAAGATAACGTGGTCCCAAAAAGAAAAGAAACTCTTAGAGGAGATACAGAAACCAGAGTTATGTAAAGACATGACATCCCAGAGTAACTTCGGGAGAGGCCGCAAAAAAAACAATGACAAATACACACAGCTTGGACAATGTGAAGTTCAATTTGAGAAACTAAGTGTTAATGGAGTGTCAGGGACAGTGACAACTAGTTACAAGGCTAAACAAACCAACCAGGTTAATACAACCAAAGAGAATGCAACATTCCCGTTGACGGAACATGCTTTTGCCAAAATGTACCAAGCGCCGATAATAAAAGAAGAAACTCAGGTAGCTCCAGAGACGTCCAGTGGGCTCCTCTGTCAGTTGCAGCATTATTGCTATCGATGCTGCTACCACTGCTGTGGATGCTGGAAGCCCAGCCTCCATGAGGAGAATTGAGAGACATGTATTCTGTATGTGAATGATCCTGCCATACATTTTAAACACAAAACATTTGGAAGTGTTTCTGTAGTCAAATGTCATTTTAGGGCTGTGAATAGAATTTTTAAAAATTAACTAATTAATGGCGGTTGTTATTTTTAATGAATGTTTGTTTTTCTTTTAAAGACGTAAAACGTAACGAGTAATCACTTTAGAAAGCGTGCATTTTAGACACTTGTTTAAATGTTAACGTCATTTTAAACACAAAACTACACACATTTGATCATCTTGGAGGCAGAATTCCAACGGGTGGAACAGGTGTTGCAACTCTGCACTTTGTTCTCAACTCTCCATGATTTAACGGCTGTTTTTGAAGTGCCAACAATCTCCCCACATTTAGCAAGGCCGTTAGCAAGGATGGTCAGGGACACAGTGGTGGTCCTCTGCAGACCTGTGTGCCGCGCAGGGTAATGTTATATTTTCAGATGGAAGTAGCATAGCAGCAAGCTTAGCATAGCAGTGCTTTAAGTGGTCCGTTTGACACTCACCCCCCTTCTGTTTGACACGTGGAGTAATTCCTCTGCACAGTTCTCCGCTGTACGTCGCGCCTATTTTTGTTTTACTTCCAATGCTAAAAGCTCTCTCCATCTTGATGTAACTCACTACCGCGGTAAAAAAACGTTAAAATGTTTTTATTGCATTCATCTCTGCCACAGCCCTTATATATATAAAAACATATATAACTTTGCTCTCTTTCCAACTGGCAAGTAGTTACAGCAGTGTAGAACTTGACATGGCATTGTTGTATTATCTTGGCCAAAAGAAGTTATAGGGAGATCAGACCAAAATTCTGAGAAATAGTATGCACTCATTACAATGTTGTCAGGGACCAACCAGGCTCCACCACCACACAATCACATAGATCACTGTCACCAGAAAAGCACCATCCTCACAGTCACTTTGTCTGGTCTCGTTTCTGAGTAAAGACTGTCGTTGATGCACTCACCTACCGGAATAAGGATAGTTTGCTACCGGCATACCTGCGTCTTCTTCTTCCTCCTGGGTCCCGTCGTCTTCCCGCCACTCACCTCTCTCCTGTCCGTGGTGAGTGCCCCAGCTATCTTCCTCATCCGTGCTCAACGACAAACGACAATCAGTACTCCAACCCTCCTTGTTCACATTCTAACTACTCTGAATTCCTCACCGTCCAATTTCCTTTCACTTCCACAATAAAGTTCTTGTACTCAACATCTCCCTGGTTGTGAGTCTCTGTTCCATAACAGAAGACCAGACCAAGTAGAGTATGAGTTCCCCGGATCCTTTCCAGGAGGTTGTTGATGCCCTCAAACGTGCACTATCCTCTACCACTTCTGCATCACCTGTCACGACTTCTCATTCATCACCCCTGTGTTCTCCAGTCCTGTGGCCAATCCAGTGCCCTACTCAGGCTTGGCAGAAGATTGCGACGGATTTTTGCTACAATGTTCTCTGACCCTGGAGATGCAGTCGCCCCGCTTCCCCTCCGAGCGGGCAAAGATCACCTTCATCATTACCCTGCAGAGCGCTCCATTGGGCTCAATCAATTTGGAACCAGAATACTTCGGTGACACAAACCCTGGACAACTTCGTCACTCACGTGAGGTCTTCGGGACTCCGGATGGTGATTCCTCTGTGGGTGAGCAATTATATCACCTTTGTCAAAATAAGGAGTCTGTTTCAGAGTATACCCTCAAGTTCCGGACCCTCGCGGCGGCCAGTGGGTGGAACGAGAGCTCGCTCCTCACCACCTCCTCGCCTGCGATTGCATCTCGCTGCATACGAAGACACCATGGGTCTCGAACGGTTCCTTCATCTCACCATCCGCACCGATCGTCGTATGCAGCCCTGCTTGGAGGACCTAGAGGGTCAGCCATCACCTTCCCCGCCTCGCCAGCCAGAGTTGACCAGCTCTCCAGAACCAGTACCCATGCAGTTGGACAACACATGTCTGTCTTATACGGAGCGGCAGAGGAGGCTGACTCAGGGTCTGTGTTTGTACTGTGGCGATGATAGACACATCATCATCTTTGCCTGCCCCATCTGTTCGCCACGACACATGGTGAGTGTTATCCATTCCTTACCAGTGAACATGAAACCACTCACCACTGAAGTTGTCCTTACTGCCTCTAACGTCTCTCTACCAGTACACGCCCTCCTCGACTCTGGGTCAGCTAGGAACTTCATCTCCGAGTCCCTCTGCCGCCAGCTCCATCTCCAGAAGAGGACCAACAAGATCCATTATAAAGTCCACTCGATAAACCTGGCCGAACATCGCCATCACGTGGCGGAGGTCCTCAAACGCCTCAGAGAACATCAACTCTTCCTCAAGGCCGAGAAATGTTCTTTCCATCAGCCAACCGTTCAATTCCTCGGCTACACAGTGTTCACAATCAGTGAACACGGCATCCAGATGGACGAGGGGAAGGTTCAAGCGGTCCAGAACTGGCCCACACCTTCCACCATCAAAGAACTTCAACGTTTCCTCGGATTTTCTAATTTCTATCGCGGTTCATCCATAACTACAGTTCCATATCCTCTCCGTTAACCAACCTCCTCCTCCGCAAGCCCAAGTCTCTAACCAGGTTTTCCAGAGCCTTAAGGACTCATTTATAAGTGCACCACCCCTACTCCACGCAGACCCCAACAAACCATTTGTTGTTGAGGTGGATGCTTCCACGTTAGCGGTAGGCGCGGCGCTATCTCAGCAGCAGGGGAAATCCAGCACTTCTCCATCCATGCACCTACTTCTCCAAGAAACTATCCCCGGCGGAGATCAACTACGACATTGGGAACTGAGAACTTCTGGCCATCAAACTCGCCTTGGAGGAATGGAGACACTGGCTGCAGGGGGCGAAAGAGAAATTCACAGTTCTCACCGATCATAAAAATCTACAATATCTCCGGAAGGCTAAACGCCTAAACCCTAGACAGGCAAAATGGGCATTGTTTTTCACCCGTTTAAATTTTTCCACCTCCTATCGTCCCGGTACAAAAAACCTCAAGGCAGATGCTCTATCCCGTCTCTACAACTCCGAAGAACAAACTGAAGAACCGGAGCCCATCTTGCCTCAGAGGATCACCCTGTGCCCCATCCAGTGGTCCATTCATCAACCGCTCTCCTACTCTGCACCTACGTTCGCCAGTCACAACGCAACAATATCACTCACTCTGCACACTCTTCCGTGTCCACTGGCCATCCAGGAGCCAACCGTACCCTCTCACTGCTACAAAAACGCTTCTGGTGGCCAAACATGGCCAGGGATGTGAGGAGGTTCGTTCAAGGATGCCCCGACTGCACCATCTCCAAGAGTCCACGTCATCTCCCATCCGGCAAACTCCTTCCGTTGCCCGTTCCCCGACACCCCTGGTCACACCTCGGAGTAGACTTCGCCACAGACCTACCTCCCTCCGAAGGTAATACATGTATCTTAGTAGTAGTTGAAAGATTCTCCAAATCCTGTCGTCTAATTCCTTTGAAAGGTCTACCTACTGCCACGAGTACTGCGGAACTACTCTTCAACCACGTTTTTCGACACTGGGATTCCAGAGGACATCGTATCAGATCGGGGGCCTCAGTTCATCTCCCAGGTTTGGGGGTCCTTTTTCAGACTCCTAGGTGTGACAGTCTCTCATCTGGGTACCATCCTCAAACGAATGGGCAAACAGAGAGGAAGGAGATTGGGCGTTTTCTGAGAACCTTCTCCCATGGCCGCCAGAACTCTTGAAACAAATTTCTAGGCTGGGCCGAGTACGCACAGAACTCCCTCAGTCATCCTGCCGCTGGACTCACTCCCTTCCAGTGCGTGCTCGGTTACCAGCCTCCATTGTTCCCATGGTCTGGGGAACCCTCCGACGTTCCCTCCGACGACTATTGGTTCCGAAAGAGTGAGAGGGTCTGGGACGACGCCCATCATCTTCAAAGGGCAGTACGCAGACACAAGATCCAGGCAGACACCCGGAGAGCGGAACCACCTACCTTCCAGCCAGGACAGAAGGTATGGCTTTCTACACGGGACATCAAGCTGCGCCTGCCCTGCAAGAAGCTGAGTCCCAGATTCATGGGCCCCTTCACCATCACCCGATCAACCCAGTCACCTGTCAGCTACGGTTACCTGCACATTACAGAATGCACCCTACTTTCCATGTGTCACTTCTCAAGCCCTACCACTCACCGGTTTCTGTTCCCTCCCCAGAGCCTGTCCCGACAGAGGAACCCCCTCTCCCGTTAATCCTGGAGGACGGGTCAGTCTACACAGTCCGTGAAATCTTGGACTCCCGGCGCTGTGGTAGTCGTCTGGAGTACCTGGTGGACTGGGAGGGTTACGGACTAGAGGAACGTTCCTGACACCTAGAGGGGATATCCTAGATCCGACCCTCCTTACCACCTTTCATGAGGCTCACCCAGATCGGCCAACACCCCGAGGAAGAGGTCGAACACCGCAACGTCGGGGTCCTCGGCCCTCAGGAGCGGGCCATGGAGTCTGGTACTGTCAGAGACCAACCAGGCTCCACCACCACATAATCACATAGATCACTGTCACCAGAGTTCTAATCACCTGCACGTCATTACCTCATCAGCACAGTCAGCACAAAAGCACCATCCTCACACAGTCACTTTGTCTGGTCTCGTTTCTGAGTAAGGACTCTCGTCGATGCACTTCTCACCTACCGGAATAAGGATAGTTTGCTATCGGCCTACCTGCGTCTCCTTCTTCCTCCTGGGTCCCGTCGTCTTCTCGCCACTCACCTCTCTCCTGTCCATGGTGAGTGCTCCAGCTATCTTCCTCCTCCTCATCCATGCTCAACGACAAACGACAGTCAGTACTCCGACCCTCCTCGTCCACATTCTAACTCCTCTGAATCCCTCACCGTCCAGCTTCCTTTCACTTCCACAATCAATAACCTTCTTGTACTCAACCTCTCCCTGGTTGTGAGTCTCTGTTCCATAACAAATGTCAGACACCATAGTTTTCTCTGGCCCCCTCCCAAATTTGATCAATGACGACATGTACAGCCGCATGTCATTCCGCTGCTGGTTGTCGAGGTGGTGCCCAGTAAGTAATGTGGGCTTTGTTGATCACTGGATGTTTTGGAGAGAGCCTGGTCTGATTAGGAGGGACGGTATCCATCCCACTTTGGATGGAGCTGAACTTATTTCTAAGAATCTGACCCAGTTTCTTAGTGGACTTAATCCATGACCCAGAGTTCAGACCAGGAAGCAGAGTCGCAGTCTTACACACTTCTGTTAAATAACTTAATCAAAGTTAAAACTAAATGCAACAGTGCAACAAAATAAGAATTAAATGGGGACTTTGAATATTAGATATCTGTCATCTAAAGCTGTTTTAGTGAATTAACTAATATCAGATCACCATGTTGATATATTTTGTCTTACTGAAGCTATTGAATGGGGAATATTTCAGCTTAAATGAAGCGACTCAGTACGGTGTTAATTTTAGGACATCCTCAGATCCCAATTGTCAGACTCAAACGAAAAGGCATCAGGTCCCAGACCAAAAGTCGTCAGACTCAGGCGAAACGGCGTCATCCTCAAACAAAACTCCGTCAAACCAAACAGCGTCATCCTCAGCTATTTATGACTCTTTTAATAAACCTTAAACCTAAGGTGGATTATAACTCATTTGAAAGCCTGGTTTTCAGTCTTTTGCAACCAACATGGAAAATTGTCCAGCCGGTTCTCTTCGTAATAGTGTGCAGGGCCCCAGGTCCTTATTCAGAATTTCTATCTGAATTTTCACAGTTCTTAACGAGTTTGGTCCTTGAAACGAACAAGGTAATTATAGTGGGTGATTTTAACATTCATGTGGATGTCGACAACGACAGCCTTGGTACTACATTTCTTTTATTGTTAGATTCAGTTGGTTTCTGTCAGAGTGTAAATAAACCAACTCACTGTTTTAACCACACCCTAGACTTGGTTCTTGTTTATGGGATTGGGATTGAACATTTAACAATCTCTCCACAGAACGCTCTCCTGTCGGACCATTGCCTGATAACCTTTGAATTTCTACTAAAGTTTCAGCAGTCGATGCTTATTAGATACCACTGTAGGCTCATTTAAAGAAGCCAATCCTTCTGCTCTAAGTTCAGTGTCCTGACTCAAAATATCAGACTCCTGATATATATATATGTATATATATACTCCTAAGAACTTCAGTCCGTCCCAGATTGATCATTTTGTTGATGCTTCTACAAGCTCTTTGAGAGTGCTGCTGGACGCTATTGCTCCTTTGGAAAGAATAGCAACAAGGAAGTTTGCTCCTTGGTATAACCATCAAACCCGGAACCTAAAGCAAACTGTGCGGAAACTTGGACGGTTATGGTGTTCCACCAAATCGGAAGGATCTAGGCTAGTTTGGCAAGACAGCCTTAAAACACATAAGAAGGCTCTCCGAAACGCAGAAGAGCATCTTTTTACTCATCATTAATAGAGAAAAATCAAAACAACTGTATGTCAAAACAAGCCGTGTATTCCTTTACCTCAGTAATACAGACTTCATGAATTTCTTCAATGATAAGATTCTGACTATCAAAAAAAGACTAGACAAAATTGATGGTCTCCTGCCTTCAACAAGTGCCGACGTGTCCTCAGATGAAGGTATCTTGGATGCAGCAGTGGGCCCTTTTACCTTCTAGGATGGCTTCTCTTCCATCAACCCTGACCAACTGACTTCTATAATTTCGAAGTCTAAATCTTCTACTTCTGACTAAGCTGCTTAAGGAAGTTTTTCTCTTTAGTTAGCACGTCTTTACTAGATATTATGAATCTGTCTTTGACAGATTACCACAGTCCTTCAAGGTAGCTGTAATTAAACCTCTTCTTAAGAAACTTACTCTAGCTCCAGAGGTGTTGGCTAACTACAGACCTATCTCTAATGTTCCCCTTTTTTGTCTTGCTGGACCTCAGTGCCACATTTCACACAATAGATCATTGTATCCTGTTGCAGAGACTAGAACATTTGATTGGTATTAAAGGAACTGCACTCAGCTAGTTTAAATCCTATTGTGGTGGCGGGCGTAGTTTGGCTCAGCTGCAGAGGGGACGGAGAAGGGAGTGGCTCGGGGAACGGTGCCTGGAGGAGGCATAATTGGCCTCAGGTGGGATTAATCAGTGCGTGTGTTTTGTCCTTAAGAAGGAGAGATCCGGCAAAAGCGGGAGACAGAGCCAGCTGAGGAAGCTGGAGCCGGACGGTTGTTGTGTGGAGAACATAAAGATTGTTTGTTGAAAACATCCTGATGCATCCTCGTCATTCCGGGACCCCCATAGGACCAACACGTCACAGTGGCTGGGGGGAGGAGATGACGGACGCAGGATAGGGCGGCCCCGCCGCTTGTGGC